GCCATGATCATTTATTATGGCATTACAATATATTTTATTATTCTTTGTACAGTTTTTTTTTATTAAACTATGCCAATTATTTATTAAATATTGTGGCTCATTAAATTCTTTAAATTTTTCCTGGGTGCAATTTGACCCTATCTCAGATTTTTCATATTATATCAGCCCTCAAACTTCGATCTTCCAATTTTAAACTGTTATTACATATAAAGAACAAAGAGTTTGTACAAAGTTGTTTGAACAAAGAGAAATAATTTATTTTGTTTTGTCCAAAAGAAAAATATAGATTTATTTTATCTTTGATGTGAAAAACATTTTTATTTTTATTTTGTGTTGCCTTATGGATAGCATTTCTTTATAGGAAAGAATATATATCTTATTTTCTATATTATATATATATATATATATATATATATTATATATATACATATATATATATATATATATATATATATATATATACTGTTAACCAATCTCTTTAAACAAGATTACATTAGGTAATTAAAATAATTTCATATTTGTTTAAATATCAAACAGGTTTCCAAAAGCTTTCCTCCACAATTTCAGATCCTTTGAAAACTTTCAAAATCTACTTAAACACCACATAAAGTATAAACTTCATTAAATCAACTATCAAAATAACAACTTGCTAAGTCGAATTTGCATTGCACTTGGTAATCTATCAATAATGATGTAAACTTCAAGCTGAGTTTAAGTTCAAAACTTAGTTTAAACGTCTTAGTACGAGGAACTTTATATTAATTGAATGTTTGATAATGATATTAAGAGAAAATCGAGAGCGTTATAACGAGGGTTCTGTATAACGCTGTACTGAAGTACACTGACGACTGAAAGTTTCCAGTGCATTTCTGTTGATTTTTGATATTATTTCAAAAAATCAGCAAAAAAATTGTAATAAGATATATACAAATTTTGAAATGTATAAAATTTGCTACATTTTTGTATAATACTTTCTTTGAAGATAATTATTAGTTTATAAGTTATAAGCTCACAACGTTAGATGTTACACAATGGTTGCATGTAGATACATTTTTGTAGGTTTTTGCAATTATTACAAAAAAACTAACCAAAAAATTGCAAAATCATGTTTATACAATTTGAAGCTTAATAAATTCTGCACATATTTTTCTGAAACGCCATTTAAATATAATTGTTAGTTTATAAGTTATAATCTTACAACTTTAGATGTTACACAAGAATTTTCAAAATAGTTGCATGTATCACTGCAATTAATAAGTCCGTGGGATAACTGAGAAAAACCAATTTTTTTTGGCAATTTTTTTTTTTTTTATTTAATATAGTTTTCTTCGAAAACGATATACCGATTACATCAGCTACCTTCGAACTTTTCATAACCATTTTTGTAGTACGATTTGTACTTAGTCACAAAATTCGGCTACCATCTCATCATTTGGCAAAAATTTCTTCAGAGCCTGCACCTTTTTGAGATCTGAGAACAGGATTTGGTCGAGATCCAGAGAATATGGTGAGCGAGGAAGCAACTCCAAGCCAAATTCATGTGCCACTACTTTTCACGGATTTGTGACTTGGTGCTTTGTCCTGATGAAGCACCACGGTTTTCCTTTTAAAATGGAACCGTTTTTTTACGATTTTGATCTTCAAATGTTCCAACAACGTTATACAATGGTCACTGTTGATGATCTGGCCTTTTCCAAGATAGGTGATGAAGATTAGTTGGAAATTCCAAAAAACTGACGGCATAACCTTGCCACCTGATTGTTTGCATTTTTGCTCGTTATTGTGTCTAGTCCACTCGGCTGATCAGATGGCAAATGATGGAGCCAGGTCATATCCATGGTGACATATTGATGAGGAAGATATCCAGAGAATATCCAGATATCTCTGGTGCGTCGTCCTGGTGAAGCACCACAGTTTTCTATTTCAAATAGGACAGTTTTTTGCGATTTTGATCTTCAAAAGTTCCAACTACGTTATACGATAGTCACAGGCAAAAAACTGACGCCATAACCTTGCCAACTGATTGGTTGCATTTTTTATCTAAATCGTGTTTAGTCCACTCGGCTAACCAGGTGGCAAGTGGTGAAGCCAGGTCATATCCATGGCGACATATTGATGCAAAAACTCAGTTTTATTTCGATTAAACAGCTCCAAATACTTTCACGAATCATCATCTCGATATGCTTTTGGTCAAATGTTAGTTCACACGGCACCCATTTAGCACAGAGGTTTTTTCTATTCTAAATATTCATGAACGATATGTCCAACACATTGTTCTATTGATATCTTTAGGGTGTCAGGTATCTTAGGCGTTTTCATTTTTCGGTTATTCAAAACGTTTCGATGGACTTTTTTGATATTTTCCAGTGTAACCTCAATTGAACTTCCAGAGCGTTCAGCATCATCAGTGCCAGTATAGGCATGATTAAAATCAGCAAACCACTTCTCCAATAATTGTCTCGATTTGGCACAGTCCACATGCGATACTTTGGCAGAAATGGCGAATTTTGAATTTTGAAAAACTCAAAAGTAGCGTCACTTAAACATCTATAACTTGTAAACTAATCGCCAGATTGTCATGAAATTTTGACATATATATTCTTAAAAATGTTACTTCCTACAAATTATATGGATGACTAACAAACGACTTCATCTATGTGTTATCCTACGGACTTATTGAGTGACGTAATAGATACAGTTTTGTAGATATTAAAAAACTAACCAAAAAATTGCAATATCATGTTTATACAATTTAAAGCTTATGAAATTTCGCATATATTTTTCTGAAACACCTTTTAAATTTAATTGTTAGTTTATAAGTTGTAAGCTCACAACTTTAAATGTTCCACAAGAATGTTCAAAATACTTGCATGTAATAGGTAAAGTTGTATTCTTAATATTTCTTACAAAATTATCTAATGCACATTTTATCTATTTAGTTTATATTAAAAGTTTACAAAGTTCATCAAAGTTTCTGTTCTCGATTAAATTTAAATAGTTCAAGCATCGTTTACTTTATTAAAACTTGTTCTTGTTATTTAAATTAAATAGTTCTTTTGATTAAATTCTGTAGTCTATTTATCTGAATTATTTGCAAGATAATATAGTGTTATAATTTTTTCCATTAATCTTTCAACTTTTTTCAACATCGATACTTTTATCCACGATTTCATAAGTAAATAACTTTTAGATGAATATCTGTAATTGAAAAAAGTTTCAGCAGAAAATGTTTACAATTTTATAAACTTTAACGTACCGTTTTCAGATTTGTTTTTTTTTTTTAACGAGATTATTTTATATAATTACAAAAGTTTAAAAGTATGTTTTCTTGAAATTATGCAGATGTAAGTTTACTTGTTTTTTTATATAGTTGCTGGTCCTTTAAGGCCCCGTTCTACCCTATAACATACGACCAATTTTTGAATCAAATTAATTTCAAAAATCTGCAAAAATGCAGTCGAAAATTTTAGTCAGTCTGTGTGCTTTAGTATGGCGTTATAGACAACCCTCGTTATAACGCTCTTAAACAAAAATATTAATGTCCAACAAATTGTCAAGTTATAACTTATAAACTTAAAAGCAAATATGTTAAATTATTTTTATTTAATTGAAGAAATAACTTTTATCAATGATGTAAAATGAAAAAAGGATCAAAGAAAAAGTTGTTGCTAATAAAATTTTACTTTATACACTGTTAATCTATATTTATAACCGTAAATATTATACATTTATATACATACATGTATTAAATGTATACACATTTATATACATGTATATACATTTTTGTTGTATAAAATGTATAACAGATGCAATGAAATGGAATATATAATAAGCTGGCTTGTTGACAAAGCGATTATATACATATATATATACATACATATGCTCATTTAATATATATATATATATATATATATACAAAAACCCACATAACAGTCCTTAATAAGATTTTCCACAAACATGTACACCAGAGCAAAATCAGAATTGTCATGTACAGACGAAGCTTTCAATTGAATTTATAAATATATATATTTATACATTTATATATATATAATGTATATATATGTATATATATATATATATATATATATATAATTATATTTATAAACATTTGTCTTTTTCTGTTACAGATTTTCCAAGACCAAAATCAACATCAGTGCAAAAACATTCTAAAAATAAAATATACAAATATTTAGATTTGTCTTGTTAATTCTAAACTGAAAAAATAAAAGACCTAATTATAATTGTCAATTAATTAGAAGCAATTATAAATACTTAATTATAAACAAATATTTGCAAATGCAAAGTGTATTTAATTAAATATTTCACTAATTAATTATTGCATATGCATTTCTCATATTAATCCACTGTTGCATATTTCAAATCTTCATTAAAATGTAATTTAATAACAAATTTCAATGAAGTGATAATAAAATATACACTAATTTTAATTTAATGAAAATTAAAATGAAAAACTGTGTTTAATTGCGAGTTCAAAATGTGTAAAAAATATTGTGAATGCCATCCTGAATTTTTGGTGGTCTTCAAAATGAACCAAACAAATTTTTGCTGTTTGCAAAATGCAATCAATAAAATATCAATACTAAATAAAAAGTTGTAAATGAAAATGCCAAGAGTGAATATTCCATTTCCAAACATTTCCATTTGCCTCATATCCAAAATCCTCTGAATTATTTATGACTCCATTAAAATTTTAGTGTTTTATTCATTAATCTAATAAAATTTCCTAGTGACTTCAATCCATCATCAATTCATTGTTAATCTAATTTTTATATTCCTAAAAAAATCCACGTATTTCTGATTTATTCATCAAACCATTAAAATATCCATATGCTACTAATTCGTCATCCATGCATTAATAGTCCATTATCATGATCCAAAGAACCAAGTAAATCTCAACCTGATTTAAAAATTTCCACTTCCAATTCATCATCCATGCACCAATAGTCCAATAGTCTACTACTCATTGATCCTCCTCTATCATGGCCGACAACCTGACCTCCGGTACCAGGTTCGAGTACTGCGGTCCTGGTCTGGACAGCTTCCACACCTTTTACCTCGGCCTGCACGGCTACTTCGCCCTCAGTGTCTGCATCTTTGGATGCGTTGCCAACCTGCTCAACATCGTCATCCTGACCAGGAGAGAGTTAAGGTCGCCGACCAACGCCCTGCTGACGGGATTGGCTGTCAGCGATTTGCTGGTGATGCTGGATTATGTGCCATTTGCCAGCCATATGTACCTTTGGCATGGTAAAAGGTCCAGGGAGCAGATGTACGAGTATGGGTTGGCGCACATGGTGTTCTTCCATGCGATATTCACTCAGGTAAGGGGTAAAAGATAGATGGCCTAATTGGGCAGTATCTTGATTAACCGACTTATCAATTTAGTCACTTTGTACCTCAAGGTACTCCTATTCTTACATTCTACTTTATTACCTCGAACTTTAGCTATTGGACTTTCAGCAGGAATAATTTTGAAGTTGTACCTTAAATACGGCTTCCAAAAGGTTGTCGCTTAACGTTGCCATTAACCAGACCTAGCTCTTTTCCATTTTATCGTAAAACATTAATTTTTCTTTAATTTGATTTGATACATATATATTTTAATTTGATAGAATTTTTATTTTCAAATTTAATGGATAAGAATTGTGAAAAGCGGTTAAATATGAAGACCTTCAGATATTGGCCCAAAAGTTCTGCACAGAATCTGGACAAATATTCTTGGTAGAAGTATCAAATTGTGCGCTTTTGAGAAAACGATCATGAGATATTGGCCAGAAAGTTCTGCATAAAATCTGGACAAATATTCTTAGAAACAGTATCAAATTGTGCGCTTTAGAGAAGACTATCTTCAGATATTGGCCAGAAAGTTCTGCACACAATGTGAACAAATATTCTTGGAAAATGTATCTATTTGTAAGCTTAAAAGAAGACGATCTTCAGATATTAGCCAGAAAGTTCTGCACAGAATCTGGACAAATATTCTTAGAAAAAGTATCAAATTGTGCGCTTTTGAGAAAACGATCATTAGATATTCGCTAGAAAGTTCTGCACAGAATCTTGACAAATATTCTTAGAAAAAGTATCAAAATTGTGCGCTTTTGAGAAGGCGATCATGAGATATTGGCCAGAAAGTTCTGGCCAGAATCTGGACAAATATTCTTGGAAAATTTATCTATTTGTAAGCTTTAGAGAAGACGATCTTCAGATATTGGCCAGAAAGTTCTGCATAGAATCTGGACAAATATTCTGAGACAAGTATCGAATTGTGTGCAGCATGTTTTCAGTCTGTGCAACTTATGCACTTTATAATGGATTTAAATATCCACGAATGCCAAAAAATATAAACTCTATCGATTGTGCATTATGGACCTTAATTTCTAACTAGATGATGTTTCATACGATAACATTTCCATGTTACACAAAATTATAAACAAAATAGCCCGAAGCCATACATTGTAAATTCGCACAAATCATGAAGGCGAGTTCGAACTAGTCCCAATTGATACTTTTATATTAATTTATGTTCATAAACAAAGCATAAATAAATATTCCAATCAATCACGACCTACAATTAAAATAATTAGTAAAATTCAAAATCACCTAGAGCCATTTCACCCAATTAATTAAATTTTAAAACAAACAAACATTGGAGCAAATTCAATAATAAAAACACTAAGCGTGAATTCATTTCGATTAATATATATATATATATATATATATATATATTATATATATATATATATATATATTATATATATATATATATATATATATATATATTATATATATATATATATATGTATATATATAGTGTGTGTGTATATGTGATAAAAAAACAAATCCATATCTCGGCCTAATGAGCAAATGAATAAACATCGTACAGCAAAATGTAATGTTGAATATTTTTTAATAAAAGAGATACCGTGCTTCGATTATATCACGTATTATATATATATATATATATATATATATATATATATATATACATCGTATTATCGATACCCGTACGCAATATATCGATATATTGGCAGACTTTTATCAGACGTTGCGATAATATCGCCCCGAGAGGAATATATTGAATTCCGCTTTCATTAAAGTAATACCACAAATAATCGAAGCGCTTGTAGAAAATTTGTAAGAATGATTTTATTTATTTTAACTTCCCGAAGGAGATACATAGATAATATCATTTATCTATTTATAATGAATGATATCAATTACAAATCGTATTGCTTAGTTTTTGGCGAAAGCGACATCTTTATTTCTTAACTAAACAGTTAAAAAATTTATTTAATAGCAAAAACTCAATTATATTTGATCGATTATTAATATACCTTAAGGCGAAATGCTACTTAAACTTAGTTATTCATATAAAAAAGCTCTACTCGTTTATTGCATTCTGCCTTCTGCATTCCGCCTGGATCTGGAAGTGAATAAATAACTAGGTATAAGTGGCATTTTGCCTAAAAAAGCTAGTTGCATAACCTTTTTGATATTCCTAAATAATCGACTCAATAATAATGTGAAAACTTATAATATCATATGGAACGTATTGTTGTTTCCACTGTACAATTACCTAATTATTTAGGTAATTGATACGACAACACGCAAAAAAGAACGGCTGATCGTAGCGTCATGGAGGTCCAGTGGTATTACACACGAAATATATTACCCAAGCGGTTTTGAATGACCAGAGACGTCTAAAAAATACAAAATTGGCTAATCCGATTTTCTGGAGAAAACTTAAACTTGTTCAGAAAGTTAAAAATGATTCACTAGCATCATGAACTTGATTGATCATTATTTTCATCATAAGAAATAACCAATTATAATTTTACACTAGCTCTCCGTCTATCAAGTCTATTTAATAAATAAAATCCCACAGGACATAAATGGTTCCGTATCAGATGATTGCATAGGGCCCACATATGTATTTAATGTTGATTAAATCTTTACAATAATATTATGGACAAAATTTATTTATTGATAATATATTTTGAATGCAACGGCTGTAAGCTAAAATCCGTTGCTACAGCAACCAGTCGTCTAGGAAACTGTTGTAAACAATTGAGAACATATAATATTATTATTATTAGGACATTGTAATATCATTTATTAAACGATAGGTATGATAATAAGACAAGCCTAAATATAAATATATACTCAATACCTTCCAGATCTTTCACTATTTCACTTTTCCTTTCCCATTTAATCGTTTTCTAATCGCTTTCCTACAAAGGTCCAGTAGTCATCCTTTATCAAAAAAAGGCTCCTTCTTTTCCATTTTAAATATTTAAATTCCTCTCGTTTCCATAATAATGTATTATATTTATGTATGATGAAGGCCCCAAAGTTAAGTTGTAACGTTAAACAAAGAGGAGATATGAAATAAAAATAAACTTTTCGAAATGTGTCAGAAGCCTAAACGCTTAAATGGGGGGCTCCGACGGAATTAAATCAATCCTGTAATGCGCACGAAAAGTTTCATGGAGGGGGGGGGCAGGGCTCATATATATATATATATATATATATATATATATATATATATATATATATACACATTCGTACGTGCCTCTATGTACTTATAAACATTAACATGCGCTTATCTACATATATATAAAAATAAGTCGGGTTTTCCTTCCTGACGATATAACTCCAGAACGCACGAACCGATTTTGACAATTTTGCATTGGAAAGTCTTGGGCTCCGCAAGTTTTATAGCTAAGAAAATTAGTGGTGCATGGCATCGTGCCTTAATGCAAATTGCTGGAACCTTAGTGAGAATTAACAAAATTATGCTTGGTTAAGTCAACGAGCAATTCTTGCCGCAAAGAATAATGATGTACACGCATTGAATTTCACCATTCAATCAAAAATTGCTGGCGATTTGGTGACATACCAATGATTCCGACTGGTCTTCCGTTTGATTTCAAACGATTGCAATTTCCAGTTCGCGTTCGCAATGACAATTAACAAGTCGCAAGGCCAATCGCTTAGTGTTTGCGAGATAAATTTCAAATAGATTATTTAGAAAATCATGTTTGTTTTTCACATGGGCAGTTATACGTTGCCTATTCACGAGTTGGAAAACCATCTGCTTTGTTTGTGTTAACGTCAGACCAAAAAACAAAAAATGTGGTTTACCAAAGAGCACTTTAATGAAACGGATAATTTGCGGATTCACTTTCATTTACTTAGAGAAGTTCAACTAAAAACACTTCATTTTTGTAATCGAAATAAATTCATTGCTGTTGTGTAATAAAATCAATTTTTTCCTTTTCAAGTATAAAACAAACAAAAAAAATTCTTCATCTTTCTCACGAAACCATCTGGTGGCGAAACGGAGTTCGTCGGGTTTGCTAGTCTCCTTATATACGTTCATATACATTTACATATATACAATGTACTTATATGCATATTTACTCTTATGATTTTTTCATGCATTTATATACAAGAATGTTCTTTACATACATATGTATTTGGAGGATTCTTATACATATGTATTTGTGCTTAAGTACGTACTTATATACTTGGTTGTATATACTTATATAACTACATAGAGATCGATGTACTAAAATACATTATTTAATATGTATATACTTAATAGTAACTTAATATATACTTGCTATGTACTTAAATGTATAATTATACTTGTGTACTAAAATGCATATGAAATTATATATGCACTTGTTGATGTATTTATATACAGTTGTAAACTTGATTCATTATGTAAATAATGGATTATGTACAAATATTAGGCAGTTTATTTGAAAAAAAAATTATATATGTATGTGTTTTTTTTTTTTTTTTGTATAGCGAAGGAAATGCTTTTATGCATCCCAGACCGGTCTTCTGTCTGGGTATGTCGGACTCGATACCGCCTTGATATATGTATGTGTGTGTGTGTTTGTATGTATATTATAAGATAATCTGGTATAAAAAGTCAGTCAACTGTGAGAACAATGCGGGTTCCGTACCGATAACTAATTTGATAAAATACAGAAAAATCAAAATGAAGGCAAATATCGATTTTGTTTTCAGCAGAATGGCACACATATATTTTTACAAGCGCTTTATTCATTCTAATCGAATTCAGTAATAAAAAAATTATAAATACACAAAATTTTAGCAGAAGAAATTAGTCTCGACATTTGTAAAGGGAACAAAAGAACATTTAATATCGAAAAATTTATAAATTGAAAAGTGTGGTATGAAATCGGTTGAAAAACACGAACAAATTGCGTTTGAGGAGCATACTGAGTTGATATAGATTAATTTATTGAACTAGGTACACAAATGAATCTTCGGACTGAGTATATGGTCTTATTGCATTTCCTCATTTATTTTTCATTAAATTTGTTGCGAACGTTGCACGAGATTTCATAAATATAGTTGCTCTACTATAAACAGCACAAATTACATTTTCCATCTCCGAGTCAATTATTACTAGTGGTTTCAATATTTATCTTTAATTCAATGTCGAAATGACATTCCCGACATCGAAAAACGGATATAAACTAGACAGCCAGGCTGATGTAAGTAGTCCGGAAATAGTTGTCGGAAGTATTAATAACTCCTGCAGAGAACCAAGTGGAAGGAAATGGAAGGAAATAGTTTTCTTCGGTGGTAATGGAGTAAAATGAAGTAGACGTCTTTCATGGAAATGTCTGATTATATTCATTTTCTTTTGTTGGAAACAGAAAACGTCCGAATATTATATATAATACTAGCAAACCGGGCAAACTCCGTTTCACCACCAGATGGTTTCATTTTAGGTAACATTTCGTTTGGTGATTAAAAGATGAAGAAAAAAATTGCCTGCTGTTAAAATTGAATAAAAATTTGCATAATACATGTGATTGATTTGATGGTTTCCAATTAAAATGTTATGAAACAAATAACTTACTTTTTTTACTTTTTTTGCACAATTTCACAGTGAACACAATGCCGGTTTGTCATATGAAATTAACTGAGCAGAGAACAATGAGTGCAGTCAAACAAAAAATATTAGTTTGTAGTACATGATAAGTATCAGAGATGACGCTGTATGTGAAAAAAGAAAAAGTGTTTTCTGCTTTTCTGTTGAAATCTTTCTTCAATTTTCTTTGCTATAAACCTCACGGAGTCCGAGACCTTTCCAACGAATGCAAAATCGTCGAAATTGGTTCGTGCGTTCTGGAGTTATATCGTCAGAAAGGAAAACCCGACTTATTTTTATATAATAGATAAGTACATAAGCAAGGGCATAAGCATTTACCACAGAATGCATACGTGCAAAAACATGTATATAAGCAAATGTATATTTATACAATCATGTTAGAATTTTATTGAGTGTTAGCTATTAATAGATTGCGCTAGTATGAATGTTGGTATGAATGATAGTATTTGAATATATATATGAGATTACTATAGATAGATGATAATGATAAGGGTAGTTAATGTAGAATGAGAATAGTAGTGAATATAGAAATCATATATTAGGACCATTAATATAATTAGTGTCAATAAATTATTAAAAAGATCAGTGTGTTTTAATAAAGACCGCCAGAATCAACATATGTATACAACGCAAGTTCATTTGTGTAAGTACATAAGTATATACTGGATTCTAATATATAAGAGCATATATATATATATATATACATGAAAAAAGCACATTATAATATGTATATAGGCACAGTAAGTACATAGGTCAAGTACATAAGTAAAATTAAAATAAATAAGTTGATACATATATATTATATATAAAAATGAATCGCAAAATATGTTGGTAAGCGCATAACTCAACAACGCCTGGACTAATTTGGCCAATTCTTTTTTTAAAATGTTCGTTGAAGTTCAAGGATGGTTCATACGGCGAGAAAAAATCGAATAATTGCCGGAAAAACCCTAAAAAACAGCCCTTATCTTTATCACATACAAACGTTTTCTAACTAAAACGTAAAATCAATTTGAGCTTCATTGCTATTATATAAAGTTGATATTAAATTGCAAGCACTCACTGTATACTCCTCCTAAACGATTATTCGGATTTTGATAAATCTTTCTGAAGTTTGTTAAGGAAATTTTCTAAGATGTATGTTCAATATTGTACAAATAAATGGAAAAAATTGTAAAAAACGACATGTCATTGTTTGCATTGAAAACAAATGAAAACTATCCTCTGCCAAAAATTTCAATTTACTTATGAATCTAGACAATATTAGAATATGTATAATAATTTTATGATTATGAATAAGAAGAATGCAATGTCTACATTATTATTGCCAAAAAGCAGCTGAGATGTACCAGAAATTAAAATAATATAAAATACAGTATATGTATGACAGATTGAATGAACAGGATAAGACAAATTAATTCACTTAAAATATGAAATTAAGTATTAATCAGGGCCGGTCCCACCTTTAATGCGATGCATGCGAAAAATACGAGCGCACGCTTTAAGGAGCGCCAACACAAGATTCGGATATTAAATTTTCAATATAGTTTTTTTTTCAATATATATTTTTTTTGCATCTTTTACTTATCTTTCCACAATATTTTTAAAATTCGTAAAAATTTCACTTTATAACAACAAATGGCAAAGTAAAATTAAATACATACAATTCGGCCCTCACGATATCGATTAGGAGAAGTTTAAGATGTAATTTTGGATATCTTAAATAATAGAAAATTAAATTAATTTAATGCAACATGAAGTGCCAGCGTTATGTTATGGTTATGGTTATGGTTATGTTATACCGTTTAAAAGACTTCAATTTCCAATAAAGTGTGGGAATTGAGATTCATCATTTTATAAAGCAGTTTTACATTTAACATCGCTCATATTATAAATGTATATGCATTTTGGCGTAAAGAGTAATTTAAAAAACAATAATTTTTAGTTTTAGGTAAACGGTAAATATTAGTATATTATATTAAAAAATTGTAGACATGGGTACAAGATAACGTCTGTCGGATCATCTAGTACAATAATAAAGCACATTAATATGTATATAAGCACATGTAAGTACATAGAAAAGTACATAAGTACTGGATTTAATATATAAGCTGTATACATCGAAAAAGCACATTAATATGTATACAAGCACAAATGAATGTATACAAACACAACGAGAGTGCATTTAAACGAATCTATAGAAATTATGTAATATAAATTATAGATATATATAATTTTATCCTTTAGCACAAAAAACTGCAAAACGTTTCGAGAAATTGGTTCCATCATCTTTAATGACACAATAAGCATGCATATGTATTTAAAAAACAAATTAAGTCATTGAATTAAATAAAACATAATGAATATATTTTAGAAATAATTCATACTTAATTATTTTTAAATTAGTATTATATATATATATATATATATATATATTTCTTTTAATCTATTTTAACAAATTTTATATAAATATTTAATCTTCTATCCGATTGAAGCATCTCTGACACTCGCGATCCATCGACATGTTTTATTTCAAATCCTCAGGAAGGTGTTAAAAGAATTTCCGAAACGTAAATATTTCAACATGAGATTTTAATAAGAGAGAGAAATAAGAATGAAGAAATGTTTGGAATAAACATATTTCAGACATTAATCCCTCTGCGCTTTTCTAAAATCGAAAAGATAAATGTTTTAACACATTTTATAAATATAGTTATAGACTATAAACATAACTATATATATGCATCTATTTTTACCAAGCTCTTCAGAATGCACCGTTTGAATTCGAATTTATTTTGTTCATAATGTAACTGTGATTTTCCTTAATCGCTAATTGCCACCACAGTTAGTTCATGATCTTCTCGAGCTCCAAATTCAGTAATCTAATTATTTTTCCATAATAAACAAGTCAGTGTCTAGTTCAAAGAAGTCTTCAACTGTCGTTTTGTTATGCAAATCATCACAACTGGGTCATTTGTCAAAAGTCAAGACGGAGATGGAATCGTAAATATTTATTGTTTGGACAGACTAAAATAGCCTGACATGATCTAAAGTTATGGATGAGTCGATAATTAGCATGGTAGGGTTATGATGGAGGAAGAAAAGACCAAGTGAGGAGTGCAGAAATTGGATGCAGGATATCAGTTGACCAAGAAAAAAACACTTGTGATTATCTAGCAATAGAAAAAGATTTTTGAATCCAACGCCTGAACGATAAACTATGTCAAGATAATATAGGAAAACCAATAAAAACTAATGAAACTTGGGATTATCCCGCAATAGAAGAATGTTTATGAATCCAACGTCCAAGTGATAGATGGAGTCCAAATAGGGATGAAAACTGGACCAAATGTGGTATAATTTATTAGACAACAAGCAAACCCGACAAACTCCGTTTCGCCACCAGATGGTTTCGTGAGAAAGATGAATAAATTTTTTGTTTGTTTTATATTGAAAAGGAAAAATTTGATTTTATTGCACAACAGTAATGAATTTATTTCGATTACAAAAATGAAGTGTTTTCTAGTTGAACTTCTCTAAGTAAATGAAAGTGAATCCGCAAATTATCCGTTTCATTGAAGTTCTCTTTGGTAAACCACATTTTTGTTTTCGGTCTGACGTTAACACAAACAAAGCGGATGGTTTTCCAACTCGTGAACAGGCAACGTATAACTGCCCATGTGAAAAACAATGATTTTCTAGATAATTTATTTGAAATTTATCCCGAAAACACTAAGCGATTGGCCTTGCGACTTGTTATTGCGAACACAAGGCTAACTGGAAATTGCAATCGTTTGAAGTCAAACGGAAGACCAGTCAGAATCATTGGTATGTCACCAAATCGCCAGCATATTTTTGATTGAATGGTGAAATTCTATGCGTGTACATCATATTTCTTGACGGCAAGAATTGCTCGTTGACTTAACCAAGCATAATTCTGATAATTCTTCAAAATACTTCAAAAAAGACATAATCAGAAAATCAGGAAAAATTATAAAATGGTAATAAGGCCATTTGAATAGATCAGTTCTAGGTAAAATATATTAATTAGATGGTATTCTTTCAGTTAGCCTTAAAACGTATCACCAATTTTATTGTTAGCTGATCAACTATCTAAAAAATATTTAGAACTGAAACTTAACCTTTTATCTATTTAGAACTGAAACTTGACCTTTTATCTATTTAGAATTGAAACTTGACCTTGAATTTTTTTTTCCAGATATGCCACACCATATCCATTTGGCTGACAGTCACCTTGGCCGTTTGGAGGTACATTGCCATCGCTCATCCACAAAAGAACTCCAGATGGTGCAGAATGGAGACGACCATAATTGCCATAGCAATGGCATACGTTTCGTGTCCTTTGATCTGCATACCTTTGTATTTGGCGTTCAGGTGAGGAAATTAAACATCAGCTTTTTCCAATAGACTTTCCAACTTATTCCAAATTCACTATAAAAACATGGGCGCATCATGATACTGCGTAGATGCTTTTTATTTAATATTTTTAAAATAGACAGATTTTATGCAGAATGCATTAGCATTAATTAAAGTACAACTTACGCATCCATTAAACAAGAAGATTTTTTGCAGTTTGTTTTGCTACACAACGTCGATATTAAAATATAAAGCATAGTCCATACAAATGGACTTGAAAGCCGTGCACAATTTTAGTTTAAATCTTAAAATTCCTTTCGACTAAATATTTATCCAGGTAGCGAAAATAGTTCTGACGCAAAACCGTTTTTGTTTGTTAATTCTTCTGCTGTTTCTGCTGTTTTTGCTGCTTTTGTATTTCTGCAGCGTGTTTACGACATCATGGCGGTCGCAATATACTTTACACTTTACGACTTTCGAGGATTAACTCTCAAATAAACAGCTTAAGGAGATTCCGGACGGTTTAATTACTTTTTAAACATTATTCAGTTCATTAGCTGCGAAGAAAAAATAATCGAGGCCCGAGGAAAGGATAACAGATTAACATAGTGATCCAACCCAGTTTCCTTTTCGATTCAGAACCATATTTGTAAAAAAATGTGTATAATAGTGCCATAAATATCTGGAAACTGCATCGAATACAAAATCAGTAGAGTTCTTTTTCGCAATTCCTATTATTATGTGATGTGAAGTGAGCCTATATTGTCTCTAGATTGTCAGTAGAGTCCCTTTCTCGTCCCATTTAAAAATAGGACGCATGTCCTGACACTAATTTTCATTTATATGAAATTAAACAGATCTGTACGATACGAAGTGAGCTCATCTTGTCTCCAGCTCGTCAGTAGCGTCCTTTTCTCTCTGGTTTTATTTGACGTGAAGTGAGTCCTTGTACGGCAAGTTCACGTATGTGTGTGTTTCTTCTACGGTTGGCAAAACTGTCGTAAAAGTCATGACTAATGATGACGGACACTTTCGTTCACCCTGTGTGACGTTATTAGTGTTCTGGCAGTATTAAAAAAAATATATGAGTTTTACGACGCCTTTACGACTTCTTAGGAGAGGACAGAAATCTTCTACGTGGCCTTTTTAATATACTCGTGTATATATGTATGTATGTGGGTGCATGTCATACTTTAATAATAACATAATTTCTTAGATCAGATTAATATTAAAATTGTGAGATAAATACCCTAAAAACAAGGCACTAGCTGTTTCTAAAAATAAGATTTTGACAAAACTGACATTTCTGCATTTATAACTAAGATGCCAGTAATACCAATTATTTATACATTAATACCAATTTAATATCATAAGAAGTCAATCCACAGACTGCTTTTATCAAATTGAAGTTAGTATTAAATTAATACATAACTTCCGAAAGAGAAATTTATGTTTTCGTCAGAAGACAAACGAACATTTATCTCAACGTTTCAAGTCATTTTGAATCGCTCAACATAAAATTGGAAAAGTAGGTGTGAGCTACTTATTTTATATAATTTATCCTTTCGTCGACGTTTTTTTAAAAAACAACAACTGATTTAAAAAACACAAAAGTATTTGAAGAAACTCCATAAGGACTTGAGTATATAGTGTAAAACGTTTCAGAACGACTGGTCTGCTGTAATTTACATTATAACATATATTTTTTCTATTAAAAAGGATTTATATAATAAATAAATGTATGAAATTGATACTATAAATAGTGCAGTGGGTAAATATGATAATATAATCAGAACGTCTGGTTTCCATCATATAAAATACATAAATAGCTGTCCAAATTTTATGTGGCTATTTTATTATTATTGCTGTTTTGATTAGGTCCATGATATATACATACATACACACACACATATATATATATATATATATATATATATATATATATATTTACAGATTTCGTCTGAATATTGCATAGAACACAGATTCTGAAACGATCATGTTAGTGCATCCATGTAACTTATATAGTCAAGTAGCAAAAATTATGTGAATGGAATTTACAATTATGACGGACGTTTTTTCATGTCTTTTAGAATTTCTTCAAATAAATATATTAAACAATAATAATTGTAATATATCAAACGCAAGCTAAAAAAAATAGGGCATACGTAGACAGATGAGCAGGTAGTCAGTTAAATTGGCAGAGAGGTAAATAGGTAGAGAGGTTAATTGGTTGGTAGACAGGACAACTGGTAGATAGACGAATATGTAGATAAACAGATTGACAGGTTAACTGGTAGACATGGAAAACGAATGACAGGTAAATTGGTAGGTTAGTAAATTAGTAGACAGGTGAATCGATACACAAGTAAATTGGTAAACAGCTAAATTGGTAGACTGATGAGCAGCTTAACAGGTAGATTGGTGGACAGGCATATTGGTGGAAAAATAATCCGACCAGTTAATTGGATTGTAGACAGGATAACTGGTAGATAGACGAATACGTAGGTTAACTGGTAGACATGAAAAACGAATGACAGGTAAATTGGTAGACAGGTGAACCGATTCACAGGTAAATTGGTACACTGATGAGCAGCTTAACAGGTATATTGGTGGACAGGCATTTTGGTGGAAAATAGTTATATAAACAGGTAGCCTGGTAGACAAGGAAACTGGTAGACTGTAACAATTATGCATTTTGTTCACATTTTTAATTGACGTAAAACACTGCAAAGCGTGAACGGGTACAGCTAGTATATCATAAAATCATTATTACTACGACCCACAGTTTGATGTTCACCTTCAGACCAAACATTTCATCAAACGATAAAAAATCTTTACGACCGCCGGCGGTCATAAAATGGTCTCACTTGGTAACATATACAAACAATCCTATATAAATATATACAAATCGAAGAGGTCTATGGTGTAATATACGAAATCTGTGTTTTCCAGACGTTTAGAGGCATTCTGAATCGATTGACATGATTTATAAAAATTAATAATTATAAAAATATATTTTGAGAAAATTTGAGAAAAAAACTCTTTAGCTGACATATTAGAATATTTTTACTTAAGTAATGTAATATTCTTTTATTTAAACCGAATGATGCCCTTTTTTTCTTTTATTTGATATATTGCAATTATTATCAAAAAAACATGTAAAAGTGTCCATTATAATCGTAAATTTCATTCAAATTTATTTTCGGCGCTTGATTATGTAAGTTACATGGAGATTTTCAAATTTCTTTGCTCCAAGGG